ATGAGTTTGTAATTTTGGAGCTATGTGTATAGAAATACTTTTATTTTGACTACATCATATGTGATGAGGCTCTACACAACATTTCTAGAATCAGTTTATCATGCTGATTCCGAAAAATACCATCGCAAACTTCTAAATTGAAATGCAAAAAGAAATATTCGCTAGTTTTTGAGCATGAGCGATTTTTAAAAATTTGAGTTCTTCCGAACATTTGAATTTTTTCATGTGAAAACTTGCACTAGGAAGGCTAAAACTATGACATTCGTAATCCTCAACTCAGAGTGGGCTGCTCGGTGGATATTGTGCGAAAAAATGCCAAAAAATGTAAGTTCAGTTGTCTCTTATTTTAATAGCATTATATATACTATGAACGATGGTGAATTTAATGACGAAAAACGTTTCATTCTGACGTAAGTGTTTGGTTTATAGAGTAAAGTTAGACGGAAGAATATGGCCAGAATTAGAGTAATTTCGGAAACGCTCGATTTTCTCATGTCAAATTCAACTTCTGCTCAAATGTAAGTACGTTTTCGGAATCAGCAATCGTCAGGCTATCCTTCGGTAAAATTCTTTTTCGAAAGGTCAAAATTTGAGGTTACACGAGCGTTTTTAACGAGTCGCACTTAAAAAAGCTTTCTGCAGTTAAATGAGCGCACAAAAGCTAGCCAAACACTAATCGAGTTCGAAAAGAGGTTAAAATACTCGTCTCATGTTCCTGCATCTGTGATGCAAGCGGTTAAACGCGGAAATGTATCTAGCCCTATAGGGAGATTTTCGAAAAACTCTCGGTTTTTGAGATAAAATGCTTCTTTTGTCATTAAAAAAAGGCTTTTATCCAAACAATCTAAACATATTCGGAATCAGTGTGAAAAACTACGTCGAGTGATGTATCACTTATCAGTTTTACAAATAAAAGATTGTTTGATAAAAACTCAGGGCAGGGGCCACCTCAGAGATTTTTTATCGGAAAAGAATTTTTTTTCGAATTTGACTTTTCTTACTTCTATTAAAATTTGACACATAATAAGACAATATTATGCGAAAAGAATTATTTTTTAACTCATAAAACCAGATGTCCACCTGCTATATGGAAAAATGCCCACTGTGCAGCTTCCGGCCTATCCAACTATATATATTTAAACCAAAAATGAAATGGTGTCGACGCTTCGGATTATCGGCGCCTTAACACCAGAAATATTACGTATTTATTTCATATTTTACGCTCTTTTGAACGATTTAAAGCGTAGTGCGTTTTTCCCGTAATTAAAATTCTTAAATAAGAGAGACGTTTCAAAAACCCATTTAAAAAGCTCACATTTCTGAGAGAAACACATGAAAGGTTCGAAATTTGAATTTATCAGTAATTTTGTACACAGAATCTTGTCTAGACTTGTCTGTTTTCTGATAAAGACTGCTTATGTTTTGATTGGCATCAAGGAAGTGCTATTGCGTTCGTACAGCAAACAGAACACTCATATTTTCTCACCTATATCTTATTTCAGGATTATCGGGATACATCTGACGACAATAATCTCGCTCATCTGTTGCACCCAAACAATCTATAACACCGTCATTTGTGTTATTAACAGAAATACAACCTAAATTATATTCATTTGGACGAGCACAATAATGTTCATTTTCACTATTACACGAATATTTTGGCGTGAATTCTGTTTTTGGACAATTTAATTCATCTTCACCACGTTTACAATTCCATACCTGATTACATCTGGTGTACTGTGTAATACAAGGCCAAGCGTCACAGTCCGCTTCATCATCTGCATCAGCCGTAATATTGGAAGAATATTGCATTTCTTTTACGCCATTACAAATTTGAGAAAAGATAAGTTCAAGTTTATTATCATTCGATTTAATAGTACCACGTAAATACTGACATTCGTGTGACAATGGAAATTGATGTATCGCACAATTGATTTGGGGTGGTTCATCCGAACCATCTAAACATTCTCGATAACCGTTTCTTACAGTTATTTGTGGTAGACATTGTTGTGTAATTGATGTATCAATACACTGAAATCGGTGTGACATATTCAATGAACATGTTTCTGAATACTTTTCATCTGATGAATTTATACAATCAGGAATTGTATTTTGAAGACGCTGAATTGAAATATATTTTGATGATCCATTACGATTGAACAACAATGATGACGATAAATCAGGAAAATTAAATTGTGAACAGAATCTAAATTGAAGTCTAATATCTTCAAGTAATTTAGACCATTCTGAATGTATATTTTGTCTCCACTGGAATTCATTATATTTACGACAATCGTATTGATCAACCTGAATTGTCGGAGAAAATGCGTCACACCGTTCAGCATCATAACATATATGTGTTGGTGATATATTGATTGACCAATCTGTTTTAGTTGTGGTTGAATAATATAAACGCACAAAATTGAAAAATACAGGTTGTGATGGAAATGGAAATGATGTTGGGCAATAGCGATGAATTAATTCGTTACACTGATCTGTTATACATATATTAAAACAATTTATAAAATACAATTCATTTAATCCAAAAGCACATACTAAATACGTCCAACATGTATAACTTATTTTCGATGGTAAATAATATTGAAACGTATTTCTTGAATGAAGAATATCACGACCGGTTTCACATTTCATTCCGCCAAATCCAGGATAACTTACATGTTGACAAGTTCCAGTTTCACCACATGAAAAGTGCATTGAACTACATACATGTTCTTCACAACGTATCATAAAATAATAAAGGCATGGATCTTGTCCATGGTTCAAATAATACAGATATTCATCACTAGCATCCATGCAATCGTGTATGAAATTATAAAAGAACCTTTCGGGAATGCACTGCATACCATTAGCACACCGATATTCTCCGTTTTTACATTCGTTTATTTCAAGCTGATAACAATCTTTTTCGTCTTCGTTATTTATACAATCTTGCTCACCTAGAATGTATAATATAAATTATGAGCAATCTACTACACATATGGATATAACTATTATACTTGCCATCACATATGTCTCTCCACTCAAGGCCTAATGATGACTGAATTGTACGATCACATTGTAAACCTCAATAAGATATACAAAATTTAATCCTCAGACTATTTGACAACTCTGTTATGATCTGATGCGTCTTTAAGTTTTATTTTTACGAACATCTTATTTGCATACAAACATATTTTAAAGAAAAACAAGTTTTATGAAATTGTTGAGATGATTGCTTATTGACTCATTTATTCAGAAGACATAGTAAAAGCGCTGATATGGTCGAAGGAATGAACGTTACATGCTCTAAACTTTATGATAATTGAGAATCGTTTTTAATTACCTGTATAGGAAGTTCCATTGGTTACCTGAAGAATTTCTAAAACACGCTGTGGGCCCAGTTCTGGAGATAATTTCATTCGATAAATCAAATCAACTATATCATTGAATGACGAAAATGACTTAAATCGTGAATCAAATATGTATTCACACAATTTGCCGAACCACGGTTGTGTACAATTACGATATATTTGAAGACTTGTTGGATTCGATGACGATGATGATTCAACAAGATAAATCTGATACTTTTCTATAATATCTAAGGAAGCTGACCATTGTAATAAATCCTTACTTGTTACATTGAGTTGTTTTAATCGTTCGAATGTGAATGGTGTACCACTATCAATCGTCCTATTATTATCATCATCCTTGTCTGGTTCAATTAATCTCATACAAAACGGGATTAATGTACTTTCTCCTAAACCCTGACTATTCTTAGAGCTTTTAAAGAAATATAAACAATTATGTACAACCATTGGTTTATTATTGATGATAATAAAATGATCACTATTGTAAAAATTGAAATTTGTACAACAGTTAGCAATAAATAAAAACAATAATAATAATACAAACATCATTTTAAAACTATCTATATAGATCTATGACGAGTGACCATGCTTTCGGGCTTTCGATAATTAGGAATGTTAATTCTTTGTTTGTAATAATGCTTCTTTTAATAATTTTATTTGTTAAAGTATTTTTAGAAAACCTACAGATGAAGTACAATACAAAAATAAAATTCATTTTTTGCCAACTTTCGTTATATTCTCATTCTTAATCAACAGGCACCTTGTTTTCATTACACAAATTAAAAAAATACATTAAACCAACATATGACGATTCACGCTTACTAATTTTTCCTGTCACGATACTATCACCACAAATCTGTTTCATTTTCTTCATTTAGAACATATATATCCTAAATGAGATTTTACTTAGTTTGTGTAATGGAATAAAATTTGCCTAATGATGGTATGAGAATACAGAGAAAGTTACACAAAATCATATTCTATTTCATCTTTAACGATACCACTTTTGCACTTTGTTGAATTACCAAGTTAATTGTATTAATAGTATTTTCTTGTAGAACACTGCATATAATAATCAGGGGCGTCTAACCTGTGGGACGGTTGAGGCGCAATGCCTCAAATAAACGTAATGTGGTACGCTTTTTTGCTGTAGAAATTAATCTTTCAGGTGGTACACTGAGTGATTGAACCTTCGAGGTGGTACAAAATGCCTCAAATATGCAGGTGGGATAGACGCCCCTGATAATAACAGAAACACCCAAACCAGAGAATGTCAAACCGAGGACACCGATCTCACTTTCGGAATCAACGTCCTCGGTCACATACTGACTAAGGTGTTTCTGCTGCACAAAGGTGATTATCATCTGGTAAACTTCTCTTCCTCAACAAAAATATTTCTGCGTGCGAAATCAATTAAGGTGGTCCTATGAACAGTTCCTTCGAGAGCATGCTAGATGTCATGATTAAGTAGGGATCTTGGTGACCACGAGGAAGCACTCCTGCGATACAGATGCACTCATGCACCGAGTGCTTGAGTGCAAATGTAATATGATCGGATAATAAATAATCAGCTGTTGCATGCAGATACGCGTGAGGCTTGAAATCAGTATTTCAGAGGTAGTTGTAGTCTAATTCATTTCTGATGCTCAAAATTCGCATTCTTTTGTCGCTTAAGAAAATAGCAGCGTTCGTTGTCTACAAACTGACTGATGATGAACGTGTTTTGTGTGTTTTTGTTGCAGTCTTAAGCATTATTGTATTTAGCTTTAAATATCACAAAAAAAATCCGTACCAGACATAATATACTAAACTTATCAAACACACAATCAGTTCCAAACAGTTTGTATATTTTTCAGTGAAATCAATCTATCGAGAGATAAAAGTAAAAATTTTACCGTAGCGCATTTGTTATATCACTAGAACCATTGAAAACTATATCCTTTAGCCCACAAAAACAACTTGTGTGTAATTTACTTGTCATTGACTTCTGCAAATATTCATTTTTTTTCAAGTATGTTGATTATCATAATTCAACGACAAATATACATATCCTTCCTAGATAAAAATGTGCAGACCTTTTGTATCGTCACATCAAGGCATTCGTTAGTTTTTGGCACCATCCACGAGAAAAAATATCTAGTCTCTCAAAGGATTTTATTTTTTAATCAAATACACACCGATTTTAACATGTACCAGATTTTCTAAGAGGATACTCACTAAAGGCACAAAAACTGAAGGAATTTTCGTGGGAAGGAAAAGTCCACATCACGATCATCCACCCTAGGCGTTTCTTCTAATGTGCAAAAATTGTTATGTCAGGAATTACTGTAAATGTTTCTGAGGTTTTGGATACTCTACTGCATTTAGATGTGTCGAAGGCAACCTCACCAGGAATATCAAATAGGATGTTAAAAGAGTCAGCAGCTATCATGGCTCCTGTTCACCTCACCAGTACAGAGTTGTTTAATAACTCGCTAGAGTATGAGGAATTTCTTGAGCTGCACATATTATAATTAAATTTAGCATGTCCCAGCGCGTAGAATAAGCGTAAATCAGATCAAAGAAGGGTACTTCCGCACAGGTCCGCCCAGTATTACATGAGCTAAAAGCCGCGAAGGTTTGACTATATGCACTCGATAGTCCTACTAAAGGTATGTAAAGATCCCTGTTGCTCCATGGAAAAATTATTCCGAACACGGTTTTTCCTCGGCCATAAGTTCTGAATTGAAGCGTTTTTAGGGGTGCCACAACAGCGAAATCCGACCTTACCTAATACTAACAAGCGTTCTCGAACTGCTAGCTGGAAAGAGCATACGAAGTTGCGTATTTCTATCCGCCAATGAGATTTTTCCTCTGACATTCGGAAAGAATCTTTGACTGGAGAACCTTATCTGCATTAGCAGATATCACTTTATCGGATTTTGGTTTTCTCTAGTGTGCTGCACTTTATAAATTATTTATTTGAGCTATATACTAGTCGGAAATTGTGGAAAAAGCTGAAGAAAGCAGATTATTGAGATACAGTATTTTTCGCCGATTATATCATTTTGACATTCTCTTTACTTTATCAGATGCAAGACACCCAGTTTTAGAATTTAGAAACGGTCAATGACATTATGTTGCTACGAAATTTTAAAAGGGAAGTTTTGTCGATATGATTCATTTATTTAAAAGAATAAAGAAATGATTGTAAATGAAAAATTCTCAAATTTTCAAAGAGTAGGGTAGGACCAGGGCTGCACTGCCACAGGGTAGGGTAGGGCAAGGGCTCTGTAAACAGTTATGCTGCACATCTCTAGTGAATCAGTTAATCAGAAATGTCTTCTTTATTCCTATAAAAAACTTTTGTTTTTTTACCCAAAGTAGGCTTTGGAAACTCGTTTTTCCTTCAGTGTGTGCGTGAAAGACGATTAATGATTGTCAATAACAGCCACTTATTTCTGTATTTTATTAATCATTTTATCGTCACCTTTATGACTAGTTGGAAAATACCAACACAACAGTTCTTTTGTCTTATTGTTTATTTCTTTAGTGAGTAGTGCACCAAATAGACATTTAACGTTTTGTGCCGCTTAGTCAAACTCAACAGAGAATAAATATATAGAGAAGCAATTCTACTGGGGTAGTTGTTGAAAGATGAATAACAGGACATTAGTCTTGCATTTTCTTCCAGTAAGGAAAATGTCTAAATCAACCGATGCAACAAAATCTTTAAAAAAATGCTCAAGATCTTCTTTTTGGTTCGAAAACTTCGGGAAAACTAAATGAGAGATGTTTACGCTCTCTTGTACCTACCTTGTTTCTGTCCATCGCTCTATAGTTGAATGCTTTAAGGGTACCCCGCTCTTTTTTGACCCTCTTGGAAACCGGGGACGCCGATGTCAAGGACTCCGCCGGATAAGACCGTAATTCTGCCACCCCCTTAAAATCAAACTGTTAGCGCACTCTACATATTACATCTCATTAAATGCAAGTGATAAGACGCGAAATTTAACGAGCTCTATAAATTGCAGATAGCTATTAGTAATACTGGAAATATTAGCTTCACTAAAATTGTTTTCAATAAATTTTTAGTAATTTGAAAATAAAACTTTAAATTTTCGATTTAATCTATTTTCAGTTTGAAAAGTTTCGATTTAAAAAAATTAAATTTCAATTGAAAAGTTTTTAAATTTCGATTTTATGTTCGCAAATGAGAAGACACGAAATAGATTGATGTTAAGTTTATTTTCGTTTCATTTTCAATGAATTTTTCAACGAATAACAAAATATTGTTTAGAAAGCGATGTCAACTTTTCATTATTGAATACAAGTAATTTACAATTTTTAACGTTAAAGATAAACAGAGAAGAAAAAATAATTAAACAATTACTTTTATGACAATTGTCTTTAATGCACAACTGTTGCATATAACGAACAGAAAATTAAAGCCAAAGACGAAATCTTGATATTTCAACATCCACACGACTATGAGGGAAGCGAGCTTGAACCATTGACCGATAAGCTTCAACTTTTTCATAGTGAATTTTGCCATAAATATCGAGAAAAGTAAATGATTTTAATTCTTTGACCAATTGACAAAGATCTTGTTCAAAAATAGCCACATGTTGAACTAAAAAGAATTATATTTTTAGTTTATTTTCTCGTATAAGATCATTGTATCTGTGTTTATATACCAATCGATTCAGATGCTTGTAGAGACTTCAGCCATCCTCAAAGTGAAATCACATACGCACGTCCTTGTCTGTAATTCGGTCGAACTTGAATAGAGAAAAAGACAGTGAGACAATTTGAGGCGATAAAATAGACAAAAGTTGCAATTGGAAATAGTTTTCTATTCCTTTATTGAATAGACTAGATCATTTCAAGGAATCTCCTTTTTTATCTGGATACCTCTTTCGAACAAAAAAATCGTTTCATATTCTTTTCAAATGAACACGTTTCATCAGAGAGTTATTTCTATAGTAAATAGTCGGATTAAACGTGAATATTCTCATGTATAGTTTAAAAAAGATATTGGCAGATTCAAAAGATAGATATTTAAGAAAAGAAATTGTTCTTTTGCAACTCATTTTGGTGTTTGCTCAATTCGATAGAGAAAAAAAACATGCTGTGGGCAAGACTTTCATTCTTTTCACTTTATTCTAACGAGGAAACATATTCAGGTGCCACATTCCGATTCCAATGATTCATACATGGATCGATAGACCATAGTGAGATAGTAAATACCCTAAGAGGATTTGTCCCCATGCCTCTTGAAGAACCGTTTTTCTGGAAAATCAGTTTTTCAAGCACTTTAAAAAATAACCCAAAGCTTTTCTTAATAAGGCATATTTGTAGATCACAAATTTCTGATTAAAATAAGATATCTCCCAGCTCTACACGACTTTTCTTTGCAAAGTTAGAATGTACAAGAAAAGCCCTGTCAACGCCCTATCAACATTGTTGAGAGTCTCAACAATGTTGATATATATCGTATGGCTTGTAAAATATTAAATTTAGAGCCGAATATTTATGCTACTGATGGATCTTTAAATAATGTAACAACAATGTTCAGTCGAACATCATCGTTCAACAATCAGTATTCAATTCTTTATTTATGTTTAATATTGTTTCTTTTGTATCTTCATTATTAAAATAACAGTTTTTTCTTTCAATCGGACGGCTTGTCCAAGTGTGACGCTGTGACAATTTTGACACAGTAATTTGAGCTTTCCTCAAAAAGTGTATAAGCTAGAACCGTCGTTTTTGCGCCGTTCGACGCAGCTCGCCATACTTTTGGTATAAAAATGAAGGTATGTGGTTAAGGACTCAAACTTTTAGAAGCGTTTTTCGGCGCGTGACGCTGTGACAAAAAAAGGCCCTAAATTCGAAGTGCGTCTCGTTAAAAGCTAATTTGC